TTCAGTGTAACAACTACTACTACAAGAATCCTTAAAAAAATAAAAATGCCCAGTTCTCTAGAACAAGGTAATGGGAAGATGCAAACAGAGTACAACTACTTTGAAATTAGCTCGGTCTGCAAACATGTGGGGATTTTAGCGGGGAGGTCTGAGAAAGGTGTGGAGAATGACATTGTGGTCTAAAATGAACAATCCCCCTCCACCCACCCCACCCTAGGAACAAGTTAAGTTGAAAGCTTAGGTAGTTATTAACTTTTGTTTCTAATTTAAAATTTTAATGTTCTCTAAAGAAATTGAATGCCCTTTCAGTTGAACTGGATTGGATATAGACTTAGGTAGGTTTCATGAACTGTTAGTAAAGACTGTGAGATGAGCTCCAAATCACATCTGCAAATTAGGAGGATAAAAAAAATTATAAGTATTTCTAGTCTCCTTTGACAGCTGTTAGCCTTGAAAATAATTTACCATGTCTAAATCTATAATATTAATATTCTAAGAGCTAAATGTCTACCTCAATGAATAAGATGGAGAAGATATTTCCCAGATTTTATAGCCATTCCTTATAAGGAAAATATCTGACTCTCGAATTTGTTGAGCAATGACACCTTGTCATAGGAGCTAGTTTGAAGTTTAGGTGATTTAGAAATGGTGCAGCAAAAATCAGCGCAATTTAAAAAGTTGCCACTTTGAAAAACTAGAAGCAAGGGACATTTTGGAAGCTTTATTTTTAAATTACTTGTTTGTAGAGTACGTGACATTTTGAACGTAGGGAAAGATGCATGACCTCTACTCTAAACATAGAATTTTGATTGTTAATACGTATTTAACCTTAAACGTCCACTTTCCTTTCTTTCGCTCTATTTAGATTTGTCCGACATTTTTCGAGACTAAATTAAGACTTTTAAACTCTGTTCGTGTACGTCAGCGCCCAAGCCGATTCGCCGCCCTCTTACTAATCATAAAAGGTGTCGAAAACTCTAGAACTTGTTGTGCAGTTCTTAGCTATTCGTGCACGAACAATTACATTTCGACATAACCTTAATTTTTCACCGGTTTTTTCAAATTTCTTAAAAATAAATGATAGAACAAAGATAGCAACTCCGTAGTCTACTTCTTGAAGTAATAATGCCCTGCAAATACGGGTCATTATACTTCGGGAACTTAGAGGTACGTGCCTTGCTGCTTGCTGAAAGGCAGAATAAAACGACATATATTTTCTGTTTTTAAACCGTAATTTGTTGGATATTTCATTTGAATTGCGACTACCTAACCCTTTTAAGAGGAAACCAAACGCTCGGAGGTTATTAAAAGTACATAACAGATTAATGCGAGGCTCAAATCTAACCTTTTCATTTTTGGATAGGAGACGTGCACATTCTCCAGAAGACATCGTCACCGAGTAACTGCTGTCTGGGTTACTGAATCCTCTTCCATTCATCTTTATTGTCACGGTAGAAGACTAATGATTTGCGGAGAACGGAGTGATGGTGTGAACGGAGTGATGATACGAAAGTAAAGTTGCGATTAAGCTTGCCACTTACGAGATTTTCCCTCTGTGTTAAAGTCTACGCAGGCTATGTTCGTACGGCTATCAACTCCCTCGTTACGCAAGGATTTTATATACTCTTGCGTTACATAACAAAAAGGTCAATGCATAAGACATGAAAGGTGAGCGCGTTTTCACGTACTGCGCGCGCTTTGTGAAAAGCAAAAAAAGAAGAAAAGTTGGCTTACCTATAACGCGAGTTTCACAATTCGTAAAACGGTTAAAAACAGTTAAAAAACTCGAAAAGAGAGAAAAATGCAAAACCGCTTTCATAAGCTTTACTTTTTTTGTAATTTGAATTGCGAAAAAAATCTGTCAAGAGAACCCTGTAGTGATATATTACGTAGGTGTTAGATTCCCAAATCCAAAGTGGGCGTAATCGAAAATGTCCCAAGGAAAACTTTTCTGTCTGTAAATATATTTTTTAAAAATAACTTACCGAACTTCTTCCCGTTTGGTTCATGAAAAGTGGCCAGTACATAGTGCAGATGAGGTAAAGGCGTCCAAAAAAAGTTTACAGCTCATTTCCTGAAAAAAAAAAAACGGAAACAAATGCTTCGGGTGGAGGGGGGGGGGGGCGGGGGGTTTTGGGGGGCACGTGCCACATTTTCGTGCCACACGGGGGGTCAAAGTGTGGGAAAACCAGGAACCGGACTAAGGGGGAGTGGACAGTTTAAATCGGAAGGCACACCCGTCGAAACCCGATAAACACCAGAACCTGTTTCCCGGTTTCCGTCTTAA